TCTGGCTGCCTGACAAGAATTCCTGACTTCTTCCTCRCATCTCAGGAACCACCTGCATCCTTTAGCAAACGGTTCCTGCTCCAGGAGAAGGCACTTGAAAAGCTTTTCCGACCTCAGTGGTAGGAAAATCCCCACGGCAATCAGCTCTCTGTCCTGACAGCGCTGAGCCCAGCTCCAAACACCTCAAACTGCAGGGGACATTCCCAACAGGATCAGCCTCAGCCTGTGCCTCTGAGCCCCAAAAATGAAGCTTCCAGCATTGCCTGGTGATGTCCAGGTTGGCAATTTTTCCCTGACACATTTTTGGTCTGGGGCAGGAGCAGGTTGGTAATTTTTCCCTGGCACATTTTTGGTGCGGGGCAGGAGCAGGAGGATGATTTTGGACCCAATGGATGCAGGTTGTGCTGTGCCAGCTCCAGGCACCTGCAAACAAGCTCCAACTCGATTTATTTCCCAGTTTAGGTGTGAGCAGTGACAACCTGAGTTCCCCTTTCCCACTGGGGCTGGCAGGATGCTGTGCTGCAGCCAAACCCCTCGCAGCACAATGAGGAGGAAGAGGAAGAGCTGCAGGGTTTTGGTTGCCACCCAGCAGCAACACCTGCTCCACTTGCTCAGCGAGACAAAATCCTCGGAGCAGGATCCCCCTGGGTGGGTTCAAGGACCCAGGAGAGAGGTGGGAGTGGGGTCAGCCTCGGGCAAGCCCTGCCAAAGCCRTGTCATTGCTTGACTCACAAAGTCATTAATGAATCAAAGCGCCCGGGTAATTGCTGTTATGAGGAAGAGGAAGAGTCTGCGTTGCTCCACCCTGCTCTGCATTGGCCAGGGGTAGAACCAAAGTCCTGACACCGTGGAAGGGGTGGAGGAGAAGTGTGAGGAAGCAGGACTGCACCCTGAAAATGGAGCAGCACTGGTGGTACAGGCTGAGCAATTCCACTGCAGCAGGGATGGAGAGAGGGAGACACCCCGCTTCCTGCTTGGGGACAGAGATGGGATGGGCACACGCTGATGTATTTATAGAAYCATAAAATCATTAAGRCTGGAGAAACCCTCTGAGGTCATCCAGCCCAACCATTAAAGTCTCCTTGTCTGCCCTCTCAAATCAGCCCACCCCAGAGACCTTGAGTAAAAGGAGGGGAGAAAGGGAGGCAAGGAATGGGGAGACCAAGCAGTCAGGATGGATGAAAAAGGGAAAAAACAGAAGAGTGAAGAGGATTTTTTTCCAGTGAAGGAGCTGGAGGAGGGTGCTTGGCCTGTGAAGATGTCCAGGACCTGGCAAGGGRATGATCTGCAGGAACCCAACCCTTCCTCTGTCCAGCTGGTCTCCCACCCACAACACAACACCCAAACCAGCCTGGCTTGGACAGGCTTGGGAGGCTGAGAGAATTGTGAAATGATTAAGGTTAGAAAAGCCCTCTGAGATCAYTGAGTCCAACCATTCCACTGCCAAGGTCACCACCAGCCAATGTCCCCAAGCGCCACATCCACATGGCTTTTAAATCCCCCCAGGGATGTGGGTTCCACCACCCCCCTGGGTACCCTGTCAGGGCTTGACCATCCTTTCAGAGAAGAAATTTTCAGAGGAGCAGGAGATGCTGACAGGCTGTGRGAGGCAGTGACCACTCCAGCCTCCACCTGTCCCCTTCCCAGGGACATTTCTGTCCCATCCCTGTGCTTGTCACCCCTCTTAAATTGGASTGACAACAGATTTGCTGTGGAATTTGTGGTCCAGCACTGCCAGTGAGGAATGAGACGAGAAAGGACACATATTCCACCTTCCCATGGGACAGACCCACCCTTCCTTATCACCCCATCTCCGCAAGGTCCAGGCATGCAGCCGGGCTGGATCAGAAGCACCCTCACTCATCAAGTAGGAAAAACAGGAATTTCTCACACATACAGCAAGGTGTTACTAACAGGAACACATGGAGTGGGGAGAAAGTGAGCAGTGTGGTTCCCTCCGTGGTCAGGGAGGGAGTCAGACCTTGGAGATGCATCCCCACACCCCCAATTAGCTGAATTTGGGTGTCCTCATCCCACATCCTCCCTCTGCCAGCATGMTGACAGGAAGGACTCTGCCCATCCAGCCTTCCCCTTCCACCCAGGGGACTTCCTTGGCCATGTCCCCACACAGGTGGCAGTGCTTCCCCAGAGGAAACTGAGCCAGGGAGGGTGATGCACCACAGGAGCTGCTCTTTAAAACTGGCAGCAGATCCTGGGCGTAAGGCAGTGTCCAGGAGCTCTGTGCCAGCACTGGAATCCCAAAGGACACCCTGCCTTTCTCATGTCAAGAGGGTTGTCAGGCCATTTTGGGGGTGTTTTTTATTTTCTCCCTTCCAGGGAAAAAGGCTGGACATGCCCCAGCTGTGTGTGCTGGCAGCCCAGACCCATCCAGACAGCGTGGGCAGCAGGGGAGGGGGCAATTCAGTCCCTCTGACCCACTCAGGTGAGACCCCACCTGCAGAGCTGCTCCAGCCCTGAGATCCTCAACATCAGAAGGATTTGGAGCTGCTGGAGCAAATCCAGAGGAGCCACGGAACTGCTCCAGGGCTGGAGCCCCTCCGGAGCCAGGCTGGGAGAGCTGGGGGTGCTCACCTGGAGAAGGGAAGGACACAGGGAGGGCTCAGAGCCCCTTTTGGGGCCTGAAGGGGCTCCAGGAGAGCTGGAGAAGCACTTTGGCCAACATCCGGCCCTCTTCTCATCAGGAAAAAATGAACCAGTTTCACAATGACAGAGGGCAGGGTTAGATCGATATTGGGAAGGAATTGCTCCCTGTGAGGGTGGTGAAGCCCTGGCACAGGGTGCGCAGAGAAACTGAGGCTGCCCCACCCCTGGAAGTGTTCAAGGCCAGGTTGGAGGGGGGCTTGGAACAACTTGGATCTAATGGAAGCTGTCCCTGCTCACGGCAGGAGGGCTGGAACAAGATGAGCTTTAAGGTCCCTTCCCACCCAAACAATTCCATGACTCCGTGCCAAGGACAAGGCTCGCAGCACTCCCTCCCCTCCAGCTGCYGCTCCAGGCTTAGCCCCGGAGTGCCCAGGGCTGGCCCGCGTGGGAGGAACGGCACAACTCGATTTCCGAGTGCATTTGCTTCCCAAATCCATCCCGTCAGCTGCCGGCAGCGTGTCCCCGCGGGGCTCCGCAGGCTCTTCCCAACACCAGGACTCCCAGATCGGGCACGTCCAGGCGAATCCCTCCCGTGCGGAGCGGGGATTCCCACAGCGGGAGAACGGCTGGAAACATTCAGCGGATCGGCTTCTGCCTCATCGCTCAGGAATCCCGAGGTCAGGGCCGGAGAGTCCTCCCACGGCACCGCGTCTGGCCGGGAGCACGGGGTGGTCATCCCGGTGTCCCCGCTGTCACAGCACCCGGGGTGTTCATTCTGTGTCCCCGCTGTCACAGCACCCGCGGTGCTCATCCCGGTGTCCCCGCTGTCACAGCGCCCGGGGTGTTCATTCTGTGTCCCCGCTGTCACAGCACCCGGGGTGCTCACTCTGTGTCCCCGCTGTCACAGCACCCGGG